TATCTCTCTAGGCAATGTTTGAAATAGAAGGTTCCTCAAAGCCCTCCTAGCATGTGTCCTGTGAAGAGCAAGGGTGCCTTCTGGATGAAAGGGACTTCGGGTATGACAGGAGAGCAGGAGCTGATGATTCGTCCGTGTGTGGCAACTTCCTGCTTGTCAGGCCCTAAGACACTACTGTTTGTCTTATGGAGAAATGAGACCTGGAGCAGGGAAATCTCAAGCAAGCATTAGCTAGGTATTCCTGAGCTGCGAGTCCCAGGAAAGTAGTGGAATATGTGAGGTGGAGGGGGTGGTTGAATTACAGCCTACATATCACTGTGTCTGATAACAGCCTGTTAATATTTTATCAGTGATCACATCACAGCAAGTAGAGCCACCACTTACAGAGTGATAACCTGCTGGACTTCCTGTTTGATTTTTTTCCCTGTTGAGATAACAGAATCCCTCATCAAAGCTCTGGCCCCGCTCAGGCAGGGAGACCAAGCTGGGTGAAGGCCAGGCGTTAGCCAGCTCAGGAGGCGCACATGTACTTCCAAAGCCAAGGCCTCTATGTCTCGGAGAGGGTATTGCAGCTTGCAAAATATCTCCTACCCACACGCCCAGGACAGAGTGGGAGTTAGTAGTTAATCTTGCAAAGCCTCATTACCTTTCTTTAGCACAAGGCCCCTCATCTCTCCTCCTGCTTCTCAGAATGAAAGGCTTCATTTTCAGGTTACATGGATGGACAATGCCTCTGCTGCCCCTAGAAATTTCCAGAGACCTCTCCAAGGGAAGGAGATGAGAAAGGAGTGTTTGAAGGCCAGCGTCACTCCCTCCATTAGAGCCACTTAGGGGCCTGTGAGGCAAACTGAAAGGGGTACGGGCCAGTCACCCAGTGCATCCCTGTTGGTACCTTAACCCTGCTTTCTACCCTATTTCTCTATTACCCAAAGTCCTTCTGCTGGAAGAAGCAGCTTCTGTTGGCTATCTTTTCCCCAGAAGCTCAAGTAGTGCCAAACCCTCATTTCATATGGATTGGGATTTGAGGAGCTGTACATGCCTTGCCTGGGGAGCCCTGGCATCCCTCTCTTCTGCCTGTCCCCCACACGACAGGCATCTGGTCCCACAGTTAGTTCTGTATGTCTTTTCTTCCCTGGTGATTCCTATAAAGTGAAGACTTTAACTTGCCCACCCTATGGCCCTTGCTTGCCCTCATGACCCTCAAAGCCTTTAACACGTTGCCTGACGCGGAGTAAGAGTGCAGTGACTGTGGGTGGCTGGCCAGACAACTGAATGATCGGTCATTTGGCTGGATGAAGGTCGGAGCTCACCTGTCCATCAAGAGGTCAGCTTTGGCCTCCCTGACCCTTCATTAATAATCACATCACAGTGCATCCCAAGGGGGAGAAATCATGAGTCACACTATTATCAGAGAAATGAGGGAGGGCAGAAACATCTCTCCTTGTGCAAGGGTCAGAGCCATGAGGTGCGGGCATAACCACAGTGAATGGCCTTTACTATCCCCTTGGTCTATGGCTTAATCTAAATTACTTTATGAGGGAAGGCAATGGGGTGAACCGAAAGCTATTCGACTTGGACCCAGACTCAGGGAGAGTTCTAGGAAACTATTTAGAGCAAGGTTTTTCTTGCCTAACCAACCAAAGAGAACAGTTGCTCTTTATTGGGTCTGCTCTGGTGTTTCTAGCTAAGGACGAACTTCTAACTTCTTCCATGGACTCTTCCCAGATTAAAAGGGAGGAAGACCTCCCAGGCCAGCCTAAGAGGAAGGGATGCTCTGTGCCTGTTCCCCTCAAAGGCTCATATTCCAGTAGCAGGCAGGGACGGGAGAGCTGCAGGAGACTAAAGAGAAACAAGCCCTCTTTCAATTTCTCAGACTTCCAGACTCACATTGTTGTGGGAAGAGTTTTCCACACTCATGCACAGACTGACACTTTGTGACTTTAAGGAAATTACTTTCCTCTCGGGACTGCCATTTTGTCTCCTACAACAGACCGAGCTCTTTGGCATATTTGGAGAATGCAACAAAATCACAGGGCCAAAACTGCCTTGCTGCCAAGGGTGGATCATCAGAGCCTGTACCAGGCTGCTGCCAGCTCAGCTCAGCAGACCCAGCAAGGCCATGTCATCTTCCAACCCCCAATGGCCCCACTGAGTCAAAGACCGTCTCTTGGTGCCACACCAGAGACCTGACTTCCTATGAAGCTTCTGTCCAGAGCTCTCTCCCCTTCCTTATTCCTACCTACTGCCATTCCATGGGCTTGAAGACTGACACCCTGGCTTCTGCACCTCAGGAGTAGAAGGGGAGCGCCGGTGTCACACACCAGGCCCACGGTTGGTCAAGCTTCATCTTACAAGGTCCTGTTGATGTCACCGTTGCCGCAGTTAGTACCTGTGAACTAGATTTTGTTGGTTCCCACTGAAGTGAGAACAGAACCAAATCACTGGGCTCCCAAAGTCCCATACCTCCAGAGTTAGGGAAATCGGAATCAAGATGTAGAGTCATAGTGAAATGTAAGCGTGGCAGCCCCACCCCACCCCCACCCCCACCAGCAGCAGCAGCCCCAGGGGTCTGTCTTCTCTGGTTGCTCAAACATCAGGGGCAGTTCCAGGTGGTGCCCTCGGTGAACTGAGGCTGCTTTCCCAGGCCCCTGGAGAGATCTGGGAGGCCTGTGGAGCCTGTGTGTCCCCACTGTTATGTTGTTGGTCACATTTTGATTTCCGCAGGCAATTTGGGAACCTCTGGCCCTGGGAAAGTCTCTTCACTTACGTGGGGTCTTAGTTTCCCCAGCTGCCAATGGAGATGATCAGATTCATTTCACTCTCTTCACAATGGTGGCTCAGAGAATGAAAAGAACTAATGCGTAATTGAAATGAAACAATTGGAAAAGTGAGGAGCCTTGGGCAAAATGAAAAGGTGAGTTTCCCTGGGAAGGGGGTGTCTTGCTTTTTAAATGTCTCAGTAACACCCAGAATTTTCTACCCACCCAGTAGGGAAAGAGACCAACTGCCACTCCTACCCTCCCTTTAGCCCAGTTCTTTGCATCACTACTGCCCTGGCTGGGCCCCTTGAATTAACAAAACAGTTACTCAATCAACAAATGTTTATTAATCACTTACTATGTACCCAGCACTCTTACAGATAGTCTGGGGAATGGAGGTCTAAGATACGGCCCCCGTCCTCCCAGAGTTTACAATATAATTGTGAAATCAGATACACACATAAAAAAGACAACTATTCATCAAAAAATCATAAATGATAAGCATCAAAGAAGCAATTTCTTTCCTGAGGGTTGGACGAGAAAGGGGTAGGAGAGGAATGGAGTGGTCAGAAGAGACTCAGTGAAAGAGGTGGTGCTGAGTTAGTTCTCCAAGCTCTAGGAAGACTTGGCTAAGGGGAGAGTGTCTTCCAGGTTGGGAGAACAACTGAAGCGTAGGAGGAAGGCAGAAACATGAAAGGCATGTTAAAGAAAACGAAGGGCCCCTTCTATTGGCACTGGCGTTTGGGGAGATGGGCTGGAGTTTATCAGAAGCTGGTTATGCTTAGGCCGATGAGGGAAAGTGCCTGTATTTCACGTCAGGGGGAAATACAGCATTTTGAGGCCTTGGAACTGGCGCTGTCTATCTGGGCACCATTCTCTTCTCTCTTACCTCAACTGAAATCCCAAGCAGCAGCACAGCTATTGCTCGGATCAAGGCTATAGGCCTTTGGACATACTGTTTTGTGCTGCGAAGCCCTTGGTTAACTTCCAGCCACTCTGGAATGTCTGGTGAAAGATGGTGAAGGAAATCAAAGGTTAACAGGGAGCCAACCTGGTGCTGCTGAGGTGCTGTGGTGCTCCCGGTGTAACCCTAGTGCTCAAACTCATCTCTGAGCTGATTTTCCTTTAGGCCTGAAGACTCCCTAGGGAATCGTGGCTCTCTGGCCCAATGGAAACACCCCTTGGTGCCACCACACATGTCCAATCACTGCCTTAGATGCCAAAGTTCTTTTCTCCAAGCAGCATCAAAGAGTGGTGACTTCCTCAGCCTCCTGTCCCCCCACGCCCCCACCCCGGCAGCTCCCAGGCTGTCATCCCATAGCTTAGGGCCATCTCTAGAAAAACAAGTCTCCCCATTCCTCAGGAAGCAATAGTAGAGGCCCCCTTAGCTTTGTTATTTAGTGGGAGGCAGGTCAGGTGCCCCAGATGGAGGCAAGGGTTTCAGTGAAATTTGGGACTGAGCTCCTCAGTGGAGTCAGAGTCTGCTGCCACCTTGACCTTTCCGCCATATCTTCTTTGCCTCACGCTTTCTCTAGCCATGGACCAGATCCGCAGCCCACAATGTTGACGAATACCCTAGACAATGATTCTGGTCTTTGTTGGGGCCTTTGGCTGCCTTCCCTCCCTCACACCCTGCACCCTGTTGCTCTCTGCCCCCCTCAATACTATGGACTGACTTTATTTCAGATCCTACATAAGCCAGTGTAGACAGTGTGGAGTCATAAGAAAAGTGGAATGAAGGCTCCAGGGCCAGTTACTGGCCCATCAGTTTCTTTAAAGGGGGGCTTGAGAAGGTTAGCGCAATGCCCATAAAAACCACCCCTCCTCCCCGTCGCCCGGCAATGAGCTAACAGGGGTGGTTCTTGATCACACAGGGTCGTCGGGGTAGGGGAAGTTTAGGTGGAGTCCCAGGTAAAGCAAAGTCAGAAGGGAATCTCTGGAGCCTGGCCTAGAGCAGGGGCTTGGTGCTCGCAGTTGAAGGCTGGGGACTCAAGGTGAGGGGTAAGAGGGCCAAGGTGAAGGAAACAAAAGACTGGCTTGACATCTTGGCAGTTGAACCTGAAAATTGTCACAACAGCTCCCATTTCTGCCTTCGCTCGATCCAGTGGGCCAAAGTCAGTCTATCCTCAGCAGCACCTTCTGACATGATCCAGTGGCAACGTCCCTCACCTGCGCCCCGGCGAGGGGTTGTCCACCGGTTCTCACAGACCCAGCCACCCCCCAGCACTGGCCCCTGGGTCTTCACACATACCCTGTCAGGCTGTAGGAGTTAAACTCATTCTTGGCTTTGGGTGGCTGGCCAGAGCTCCTAGTGGCGAGGGGCTGAGCCTGGTAGGCATCGTAGCTGGAGCGATTGCCCTGGGATGGGCAGGAAAAGCAGAGGATGATTCCAGCTATCAAGGAAAACAGGGAGGAAATAATGCCCAGGTAAAGTGCCTCTCCAATCTCAAATTTCATGCTGTCTGGCACCAGTGGAGAGTAGAAGTCCCGCAGGATCCCGTGAAGATTCCACGCCACAGGGATGAAGCCCAGGAGTCCTCCAAGGAAGAAGAGGCCTCCTCCCACTACCGCCACTTTGTCTTTGACTTGGGAGTCTTGGCAGAAGACTGTGCATCTCATGCCCACCACAGAGATAATGCAGGCCAACGAAGAAATGGCACTCGATGTCACCATCATGGCCTGGGCAGCCTGGATGTCAGAAGGCAGGCCTAGCAGGGTGCTGTAGATGTCACACTGGGTGATTCCTGTGCTGTGTGTGGCACACTCCATCCAGAGGCCCTTGGAAAAGCCAACAGCCGTCACAATGCTGGCACCAACGTAAGAGCTTGTTCGCCAGCTGGGGAGCAGCATGGCGACCAGGGTGCCCAACAGCCCCAGAAGGCCCAGGATGTAGCCTATAAGTTGGAGACCAAGCGAGGCCATGGCACACCTCTTGGTAGACGAGACTTCAGAGCCTGCTCCCTCGCCTTCTGGCTGTAGCTCCTACTTCTTGAATCCCGGCCTCTAAGCCTTCATTTCAGAGTGCTCGGTCAGGCCGACTCCTTTCCTCCTTGCAAGTGTCTGTGGGTGGCTACAAGCAGGCTCAAGAAGGCATCTAGAAGACCTAAAAAAATCCATAAACCAGATTAAATATTGACCAGAAGCTTATGAGAAACCAGAAAACGCTGAATGCCTTTTGACCTTTGTTATCTTTAGAAATAACACATGAGAAAGGGGGAAAAAAAAAAAACTTTGAAAGTGGAGCCAAAACGTCATTGCCTCCTGCGTAGGCACATGCCTCAGGTTGGCAGCCAGACAAAGCCAGAGGCCAGACAGGTGGCGGCTTTCCGAGAAGGTCGCGTTGGCAGTGGCAGTTGGTGTGGCGGTGTTAGCTCTGGGTCGGGCTGTTGGCTGGCACAGTTTCATCTCCAAGGTCTGCTGTTTAATGCCTTGCCCAGCAACAGTGCCCTGGGGCCCCTCAATTGCAGACTGAGGCCAAACTCCAGGATACCGGCTCAGGGGGCGGTCCTAGGATATAACTTTGGACTCCGAGTCATCAGATGTGTCTCGAATCTCCACGGGCCTAGAGAGAAGTGGTCGCTAGCCCTGGCTGCCCAAAGTGAAAAATCTACTCCAGGGCAGGCTGGAGTAGCTGATAAAGGTCTCTGTCTACTTGTGCATTCAGGTCCTCTCAGTTCTGCCCAAATTCCCCTCCACAAACTAGCCTAGGACCTCCTGTGTCATAACACCCAGACATTTCCAATCTGCTTCCCCTACTTGATGTCCCCATCACCCCAAGGCTTACAGATGATATGGGAAGACTCTGGATGGAAGGTTGCCCCAGGTTCTGAAAGGGGGCCCTGAAATTCCCTTGGCTATTTAGTGGTCCTAGGGTGGACAGAGAAAGGGGCAACGATGCTGGAAAAAAAGCCTTCATAAGAGGTCCTGAGCCAAACCTTTGGCATTTCAGAGTCCTCCAGGATGTTGCTGTGTTCAAGGAGACCCCACTTTTCCCAAGGTTAAAGAGACAAGGGCACATCCATCCCAGCCTCCACAAGAGCTTCCAGCCCAATACTTTATATCTGGCTATTTCATCTCAGCCTTCCTCAAGATTTCTCTTTCCCTATTCATGTCTTAAATGTGAATATTCCCTGGAAGTCCATGCTTTCCTCTGACCACTCTGTTCTTGGCAACATTTCCACCCCTGACTTAATCTCCCACCTAGCCACTGTATCCTCTTCTAAATCTGTAGCCCCAGGATAGAAGACCCTGCATTTCACGAGTGCCACAGCAGTCACCTATTGGTAGTAACCAACCTCTCCCCGCGCCCGCCCCTGCCCCCCACCCCCCAGCCCCAGACAGCTTTCTCCTGGCTTCCCTGCAGTCAGGGAATGATAGCATACTCCACCCCTCGCTCCACGCCTCGCTCCAGCTGATCCTTGACGCCACTGGCACCCTCCACAGTCACTGTCTCGGTGAAACGCCCTCCGATGGCACCCTTCTCTGCAGCCCCACAGCCACTGCCCTGTTCTAGGCGTCATCAGCCTCCCTTCCCTGAACTGTAGCAGTGACTTAACTGATCTTACTTCCAGTCTGGCCTCTTCTGATTCATTGCCCACACTGTTGCTAAGGTGATGTCTCAACACATTCACCTGATCAAGTCACGACTCCACATAAAACACCCAGGGGCTCCCCATCAGTTAGGATAGAGTCCAGACCTGTTTGAACCCTAAGGACTCTCACACTTTATCTCCTGCCATTCCCCTCCTCATACGCTCGCTGAACACCTGCTGAACAAAATAACTCTCAGTTCCTCAATCACATCACGTAATGTTGTCTTTTGCTGCTGACCTGAGCACAGGTCTCTTGTTGCAGGTAGATTCTGTCTGTTTAATATCTTCTCACCCTTTAGGGCTCAGCTCCGGGGTTTCTTACCCTGACCTGGACCAAGTGCCCCTCCTCTATGATCTTACAGTGTTTGGTTTTTTCTTGCCTCCACAGTAACAATAGACAACAAATCAGCACCAATAATATGGATAATACGATAATACGTAATAAGGATAATGGCAACGTATACTGTCTGGCACTTCCTATGTGGCCATTATAAGCACTTCACATGTGTTAACTCACCTACTCATCACAGTGAGCTTTGAAATGAGCGTAGATAATCCTGTTAATATGGACAAGGAATGTGAGGTCTGACTAGAATCTGTTGCTCTCCCTTGCAATTGCCTGTGGAAAGCCTCATTCTTTGCCCACTCGTCTCTGGGCTCCTTGGGGACAAACCCTGCATCTTATTCCTCTCTGAGTCCCAAGTGCCTTGTAATTGCACTGCCCAGAGCAATTGTTCAGATGTCTTTTAATGGATGATCTATGAACTTACAGCGACTAAAAGTGATAAGGAGGCCTGAGAGACTGTAAGGTAGCGGCTTTCTAAATGAGTCAATGACACTTCAATGAAAGCATCTAGAGCAGTTGCTGGAGAAGAAGTTTGAGAGAGGAAGGAGGAGGGAAATAAAGGAGGGAGAGGAGAGAGAGACAGAGCGAGCAGTCAGGAAGAGTGTCACCATTTTATATGCATACACATCTGTTGACTATTTTGCTAGTTGAACCAAATTCTAAACAGTTTGAGGGAAGAAACCATACATTAACCTCTCTTGTGCCTGGGCAGCATTGGCAGGCGCTTGATAAGACCGATATGACGAGCCAAAGTTGATGCAAAGCAGTGTGGAAATGGGCCAATAAACATTTGTCAGGAGGTGGGGAGGAAAATCTAGCTTGAATCTCTGCTTGTCACTTACCAGTTGAGACACTGAGCGAATCCTGTCCGGCCTGGTTTTCTCAGGGCTAACCTGGCAGAATGCTGCCTCCGGACAGCAGAGCTGCTTCTGGGGCTGTAGTGCCCTGGCTGGCTGCGCTCTCCGGTGAGGATCTCTGGTGACTACTGCACACACTTAGCACTCTGTGAGTTCCCTGTGCACCTCCCCTCCCTATCACCCTGCCTCGAGTGGCTCTTTGCAGATGGAATTCTTAAACCATTGAATATTGGTGTCCCTATGGCTTCTCCTTCCCACTCACTGTTCAACCCTTTGCAGTCTGACGTCTGCCATAACCTTCCGCTGAAAATGTTCTCACCAAGGTTAGCAACGGCCTCTTTGTCTCCATACCCAACAGCCGTAACTGTCATCTCCCTTGTCTTCTCCGTCAAACTGTCTTCTCCCTGGTTTTCTGTAATACCATCCCAGTATCCTCTCCCCCCCAAAATGATTCTTTCAGTGTCCTTGGTAACTTCCTCTTGTGGTCATTCTTTAAATCTGATTGCTCTGCCCGGGTTTCATCTAGACTTCTAAGCTTCTCATTCATATTGGCCATGTGAGCCTATCCATTCCATCCCGAAGCCAGTGACTCCTGAATTCATTTCTGTGGTACCCATCTCTCTCCGGAACTCGAGATTTGTCTAGTCGACTGCAGGGGAGTTGCCATCTGAGTATTTTACTGGCATGGCTCCTCAAGCCTCAACACGCACAAAGCTGAAATCTCTGCCCTCTTCTCTCTCCACCCCAAACTATTCTTCACAGAGTGTTCAGCATCGGTATGGAATCACCACCCAGTCGGTAACCCTAACCTGTCATTCTTGATTTGTCTCCTCTTTTGACGCAAATTAATTAGGAAGTTCTAGCAGCTCTACCTTCAAATATATGCTGAATGTGTCCACTTCTTTCCATCTCCAAGGTCCACACCTTAATCCAAACCACTCAGCTATTGCCTCTTGTCCATCTGGAAATCTCATAGGCACATCAAAGTGGCTCTCTAATGTCACTTCTGCCCTGCCACTGCAATCAATTAGCCGCCCAGTAGTAGTCAAGTATCTTTTTAAAAGGAAAGTCAAATCCTAAGTGCCATTTGACCCCTCTGACATGCCTTTCAAAACTTCATGATTCATTGCTTTGAGGATGAAGCTCAAATTCTCTCGTCCAGGAAATCAGAAAAGCTCTCATGCTCTGACCCTTCTTTTATTCCCAGTATCACCTCTCACCAGCAACCTCCAACCTCATGTTTCTTGCCCCCTTCCAGCACACACGCAGTCCAGCCACACCTGAGCCCTTGAGCGCGTCTCTGGACTTGCCCTTCTCCGTGCCTTCACGCCCATCAACGACCGCTACTCCACCACCCACTGTTTGCTTCAGGACTACCTTTCTTTGGAACCCCCTTTGGGCTCCTTTTCCCACCCAGACTGAGTTAAGTATTTTCCTTTGTACTTCCTTTATATTTGGCTTTTCAGTGGGCGTGGGTGAGCTACCTTGGGGTTCTCAGGAAGAAGACCTCCTGCCTCCCAGAGGAACAGCTCCTGCTTCAGCCTTCCTGGGTTGGCAGCAGAAGAGCCCAGTTTGATTTCCCATGGGAGCCAGTAGTAGCCCCAAGAGGTGATTCTCTCCCCAGAGCCAGTTCGACTTAGCAGGAGTGAGTAAGAAAGCAGTTTGGGGCAGGGGGAAGGCAGAATAAATAAAAAATGTCATTGCCGAGGCTGGGAATCTTTAGAGAGTCTGACTTGGCATAGAGCAGGAGGAAGAACAAGTTGTTGGAGCTTATTCAATTGGGAGAAATGACCCAATGGGAGTCAGCTTTCAGTCAGGGTCAGGAAGGTAGGAGTGGACAAAAATAGCAAGTGGTTGAGTAGTGGGTCAGGTTAGGTTTTGTTTTTGTTTGTATGATGAGCAATAAAGAAATGAGAAAGAGTCCCCCGCTGAGATTCGAAAGAGTAGCTGTTTCTGGGCTCTGTCTGGATCTTGTTGATGGGCTCCTTAACTTCTCCAGGCCCTCATTTACTCATCTCCAAGGTACTGAGTCTCAAATGAGCTAAGGGGGAGGGGAGGGAGGAGGCCATGTGGACAAATGTGGGGCTGAGCAACTATTAATTATTAGAGCAGGCAGCTTTCAAAAAGACTCCTCTTGGAGGAATCCTCCTAAAAATCAAGTCCTGGCTACTTTGGAGGAACAGAGAACTGCAAACTTTACCAGCTGAACTTGTCTTCTGGGCTTGGAGCCAGCACGGCCCAAGGGCTGGGCAAGAAGGCTTCATTTAGGATCCTTACTTAATCTTCCTTAGGGGAGGGATTGAA